AAAAACAATTGCAATACACTTACTTGACCGAGCACAAGCTTATAAAACACAACCGAAAGTGGCAAATCCAAGAGCCTACCATCCTGGAGAGCCTTCGCCATAACTCGCCCGAGCAAACGGTAATACTCTATCACTTTACAAAATTTGCTCCCATCCGAAGCATCAGAGTTGGGCTGCCAGGGACGAGGGAACAAACCGAGAGGCCAACCAGAAGAAGAACCGGACCTCCACATACCCAATCCATCTTTCTGAAGCTCATGACTCAAAAGAGTGTAAAACTCCAAAGTGGGGCCCAATCCAGTCCCCACCTCACCAAAATACTCGACTTCAAGAACAGCCTTTTGACTCGAATACATCTCCATAACTTTCGCAGCAGAATCCAATATCCGATTCCTCGAAACTCGAACCTTCTGTCTCTGTAATCTCCCGACCCTCACTTCCCGTCCATCCGAACCTTGCTGCTGCTGCTGGAGCCGATACAAGGCTCGGGACAATCCAAAAGCCGTGGAATAAAAATATTGGCGTCGAGTTTCGAAAGGAAATAAAAACGGGCAAGCTTTCGTCAGCTGGTAACACCAAGAAGGGAGAGATCCGCTGCAAAGCGCGAGAGCATCCTGAATTTGACGAGCCAGCTTCGGAGTAAGCTTCGCGTTGATAAAATCCTCAGGCGGGACTTTAATTATTCCGGTCATCATGCTGAGGTCATCGAGACTCGACACTTTCCCCTCGGAAAACACGTCAATCGTCTGCTGAGACCGTAAACGAGGGGAGAGCTGGTTTAACACATCCAATACGCGCAAAAGTGATAATATGTTATAGGTTGGATTAGTTCTTTCCATATCACAAGGGAGCTCCCCTTGAAGAATGCTATCCAACAGAGATTTACTCGATGAACTGGCGGCTTTCGTTGACTTAGAAGGAATCGTGGCTTGACGATCATCTGTCTTTTGATACGTAATGGTGTAAATATCTGTCCAGAGCCTGGTACCATCACTAGATACGAGATCAGTGCCGGTATCTTCATCATCCTCATCTGAAACGAGCTGCCTTTGAATAGCCTGATAAATGGTTAAGTTTCGATTAAGCTGCCTTCCACCTGCGGTGAACATTAGCTTCGGAGAACTTTTTGAGCCGAATAAGAGATGGCCATGCCTGTCCCGAGTTCCCCTCAGACCTTTACTATTTCCAGATGCGAGTCCAGCCATGGCAGCAGCAGCAAAGGACATTGCTCCTCTTGAACCCGACAAACTACCACCAGCAGAAGCTCGGCTGCTCGAGTCTTCTACAGAATCGGCCAACTTAACATCATGCACTCTGTCCGGCATGCACATGGGAAGATTGTCATCTCCTAGGACCTGTCAATAAATGTAAATAAATAATGAATAATAAATGGCAGAAATTCATAATATTATCTTATAGCTTCGTTTTATGAAAAGCCTACAGCCAACTGGATCGAAACCCCCACCCCTCAATTCCCAAAAGCATCTGTACTGCATGTGATTCCACAAATTAAATGTCACATTGTGGTTCTAATGAGTTATATAACTTGAATTTGAGATTCCTTTTCACACACACCATATGCAATGCATGGGAATCAATTGATACCAAAGGATAATATGATTCAAACATTAGTATCGTATAATATATGCCGCCACCAGCTATAAATTTATGGTATATCCCAAATCGACAAATAGATTAACTTACATCATCGTCGTCCTCATCAGATATATCATCATCTTCAATCACCAAAGCTTCATCAATTTCCACAGGTGAAATATCCAATTCATCATCCTGCAATGTCCAGAAACACATTTTACACAATCAAATATATCTCTCAAAGAGGATCTCGTGATGAGCATCTACAGAGACAAAGCTATCACAATATGAAGCGGATAGCATATGAAACTAGAGGACAAGGGCAATTAAGGGAATGCTTGGATACAAGTTTTTCCAAAAAAATCCAATCAATTTTCTTAACCCAAATCTAACTCAACTTTAACCGAACCACACTATCCCAATATTATCAAACAAACAACAACAACATAGCATTTTAGTCCCAAGCAAGTTGGGGTAGGCTATAGATGAAACCCAAGAGAACCAATGGTAAGAGAAACACAAAAATGGCTCAAAACAAAAGGAAGAGATTGGAGCAAAAGTCACGGTTCTGGCACGTTGATTGCTAGCCTCCAAGCGCTCCTATCCACCGCTAAATCCTTGGAGATATTCCAATCTTTAAGGTCTCTCTTAACCGACTCTTCCCAAATGAGTTTAGGCCGACCTCTACCTCTCTTTACATCATCGACCCGCTGTAGAGCTCCCCTACGCACCGGTGCATCAAGAGGCCTCCGTTGGACATGTCCGAACCACCTCAGCCGATGTTGAACTAATTTCTCCTCAATTGGAGCCACCCCGATCCTATCTCGAATATCCTCATTCCGGATTCTATCCCTTTTTGTGTGCCCGCAGAACCAACGCAACATACGCATCTCTGCTACACTTAGTTGTTGGACATGTTGCCTTTTTGTAGGCCGACATTCAGCAAATCAACCTTAATTCACTATTCATCCACTCACATAATTTTAACTAACCATCACTTCACCTCAACTCTCTTCTACTTTTACATCAAATCAATTTTACTTCTTTTATTTTAAATATTATTTTAATATAAACTCAAAATCCCACAGACAACTAATCATACCACCTTTTTCAAAATTAACCATAACAAACCAAAAAATCCAAACAAAATCAAAATATTTTATAACCAAGCATCCCCTCAACAGTTTCCTAGTTCCTATCGGCTTATCTGTGGGTCGATCCTCCTACTCACCCACCAGATGCAATAGTCATATCCAAAACCCAGAACCTACAGACTTAATTGAAAATCCAACCAGCCTTTCGACTAAGCAAAAATCATCAATGAATACCTCAGAGCTGGTGTCCCCCTCCACCGACTTCATCTCATTGTCTTTCTCCACTACTGCTCTTCTACGAGTAGCATTTCGGGTCTGTGGCCCCCTGCTCTCTTCCTGATTAGCCTTCAGAACCGCTTTCCCCTTGGCCTTGGACGAGCTCAAACATTTCTCCAGCAACAAATCTTTCTTAAAAGAAGATCTCGATCGAGTCGACTGACGCCTGGCAGCAGCAGCAGCCGGAGTCGAGACAGATGGTGAACCCTCACCAGTCCCTGTACCAATGGTGGGCCCCGCCCGTTGAACCCTTGGCCAAAGGAAGTCCTCAACGGCGGCCAAACTCGCCAGCGGATCAATCAACACGACGTTCGATGAGTAGTCGCGGAGGGATTTCTCTCCCTGTGCCCGGCAAAGCCGAAGCTTAAACGGCTGAGAAAGTCGAGCGTTTGCGTTAGACGGCCGTGATGCGTGGCTAAGCAGGACAGGAAAGCGCTCCAAAGAGGACAAAGCATTCTGAAGCTTCTGAACCAAAACACTCAGCGGAACTAAAGAACCTTCTTCAATGCTCGAGGGAAGAGCAACAGACACGAAAGATCGGAACCTCCGAATAGCCAGTTGTCTGAGTTTGGGCAGGTTTGATTCGGATATTCTCTCCTTAGAAAAATAGCCGCATGTGAAGTAATTAAGCAGAGAGTCAACAGCTCCACTGCCGATGAACTCAAAAGTCGAGACCCCGTCCTCCCGGCTGAGTTCACGCAGGATATCTGTTATCACCTCAACCAAATTCTCCTCTTTACTAGCACAAATGTCGTCAAGCCGGGGCCCTGAGAATTTTGATTTTCCCTTCAGTTTATTTTTTTGCTCGTTTATTCCGACATTGAGATTCGTGCAGAGATTCTTTAGGCGTAAGAGATCGTCCGTGGCCCCGCTCTCGGTCCTCTCCGGACCTGACGGGAAATATTTTTCCTTGAATTTTTTGGCATAAGCGCTGACTGTGGCACGGAGGCTAGAATTGACCACTGTTGATATTTCGACTGTATTCAGCTGCTTTGAGCCAATACTTGGAATTGAGCTTTTATCGTCGGTATTTGTATCAGAACCCGTATTACTGCCTCGTCTACGATTCCTTCTGGACCGTGATGAGCCTGGAATACAATCGTTATCTTTATCAACTGGAGATTGTTGTGAACTGCTAGTAGATCCAGTGAGTATCAATGTATCCACAGCATGAAGGACACCTTCCCTTACAAACATCTTAGAGAAAGTATCCGGAAGCTTTTCCATCAAAATTTCAGCTATTTGAAGAGCGGGCACCAGAACTTGGGGATCTTTCCAAGCTAAAACACCAGCTAAGAAACTAAATAACCAAAGACATGGTGAATGTTACTTATTTGACCAATCCAAATGTAAATATATGTATAGTATATATTATATCATGCAATAGTGAAGCCAAATCACCTTGAGATGTTTGTGACATTTGTCAAATATTGGACCATTTCTGGCGGGCTGAAGTACATGAGCTTTCCTATAACTGATAGACATTTGTGGCGTACAGGACCATTCACACTGGATTCATAGAGCTGAGTGCAAAAGTTACAAGGAAATTATAACACAGTGCTTCTTAAGTTTTGACATAATATAGATGTGCTGAGACGTTCAGATACTTACTTGGACCAGAACAGGAAAAAGATCCATTCCAAATTGCTGTAGAAGTTCAGGCTGATCGTTCAATAGTTTCTCACGCGCTAAAACCTCTTGCATGTTCCCATTTGAATCTTCCTGCTTGGTAGAGCTTCCTGCATTACTCCTTTTGAAAAGCGAGCCTTTCATGAACAAACTGCTGCTGACTGGAAGAGATATTATTCCTTGCGGAAGTGGTGGAAGAAGCTCATTTGCCAGGTTCACAATCTCAAAGACCTGATGATATTTGTCCAGTCATAGGTGACAGAATGGATATAACACGGATCAAGTATCAGACAACACCAGTAAAACATTTTTAAAGAAAAAAAAAAAAACTTTCCCCCAAAATCATGAAAAAAAAAAATATATAGTAGACAACGATCGGGTAAAAAACAAATGGCAGATATTTCTAATCAGTGAAATTAAAGTCTGGAAGATGTATGCAATACCTGCTCTGGAGGTCTACTCAAAGCAGGTGAAACAGACATGCTTGACACAAGGCCAGACCCTTGCAAGATTTCTTTCAGAGTCCCACTGATACCTAAGAGAAGTAAGGACTTTGCTCCTAAAGGAGAACCACTTGCACATGTAGAAAGAAGACGAATCAACCCCGTGTAGGTCGAAGTGCTAAGGGAAGCCTGACCCCCTCCAGCATTAGTCGAGGAAAGAAGAGCAGCAGCTTGTGCAACAAGGCCATGATTGCAAAGTTCGTCGAGTTTCTCAGGTGACGAAGCAAACGCCTCAACAATCCGCGTCAAGCAAATCGACGAAGATTCCAAAACCTAAGATTCACATAAAAAACAAGTTTTTTTTTTTTTTTGGTTAACCAGGGTTAATTTTGAAAAAAAATATGGCATGGTTAGTTGTTAGTGGGGTTTTTAGTTTATAATAAAATAATTAAAATTGATTTGATGTAAAAGTATGAGAGAGATGATGTGGAGTGATGGTTAGTTAAAATTATGTGAGTGGATGAATAGTGAATTAAAGTTGATGTGATGTGTAAGAATGATTGGTTAGTATTATTTAATTATATTTGATAATATTGAGGATAGTGGGGTTGAGTTAGAGTTGAATTACATTTTGAGTATAAATTGAGTATATGAGTTGAAATAATTTAAAGACAAACACACACTAAAAATGGCTGTCAAAACTACAATGCACTACAATATTAGTCTAACCTTGGCATCATGATACTGCAGGAGATTTGTCAACAAAGGAACAGCTTCCATAACACAATCAGCAGCATCTGAAGGCAGTTTCTTACACATATTTGCAGCAGTTGCCAAGGCCACTCTCTAATAGACCATCAAGTGAAATTAAATTAAACACACTAAAACACATCCTTAACGGCTAAGGTAAGCAATTCAAAGATGGAGATTAACAATAAAAAAACCAGTCTCCACACACACCTGGACACCAGTTGAGAAGAAGTCTAGATAAGAAAGTACAGCCATAAGAGCACCAGCCCTCAAGCACACAGTCGGGTGTTCCTGAGATATCTTCTTCAGGGCTTGCAGAGACTGCTCCAAAGTCCAACCAAATAAAAATCAGAAATTTACCAATAGTAAGAACAAAAAAAAAAAAGAAAAAATTACAATTCAATAAATAACTTACAACAGCATATTATCATATCATCCCCCCAACATTACTACTAATAAAGTTCACCTGTTCAGCCAAGTCCATGTACTCTATAGTCAGCAGCCTAGCAACAAAGCAAGAGACAGCACCATAATGCACCACAGCAGCACACGATGAGGGCAACACATCAACAAGGTGCGTGAGTGCCCGAGCAGCCAAAAGCATGATATCCGGATTACTCTCGTGATTAATCAATCCCACAAGAACAGGAACAAATGAATCCACGGAGAAAGTACTCAGAGAATCCTCTGTCCCTATCGACAGCATATCACAAAGCTGTGTAAGTGCCTCCACTTGCTTCCCTTCCTCTCCGTCAGCCCTCAAACCGGACAGAATCTTTTTCAGCCGTCCGCTTTGGTGGGAAGACGAAGAAGCTGAACCTATGGCAGCACTCGGGAGCAAATCATCCAAACCGGCACCTAGTTTTCTCAGTAGGCCCTGAAGAGCACTGCTTGCAGAGGTCAAATTGTGGTGCAAAACCCCGACTCCACCTTCGGAGCCATTATCATCATCTTCATCATCATCATCCCCATCGTGCAAGTCAATGTTAAGTCCCGTGCTCCTCTCCATTTCCCGGTGCCTTAAATCGGGTTCCTTCTCCTTGCCCTTATCGGAGTTCGCATTGTCTCTACTGTTGTTGATTTCCCAATTTTGATTGATGCTAGGATTTTTGCCACGTCGGGTTCGGGTGGTGGAGCCAGAGGCAGGGGAAGGCTCGGAGTTGCGGTCCATGGACGCAGATCGGGTGGCCGGACGAGAACGAGGGGTGGGGACCGCTGAGGTGGCGTTGTTGACACGAGCGCGTTTGGGGGCGCGTGTGGTAGGGCCAGATAACGCTGCTGAGGTGGATGCCTCCTCCGCCCGCTTTCGGCTCCGAGTTTCCATACAATAACCTTACAAAACCGACGGACCAGCTCGCCGATTGATCAATCGGCGATCAGCTTCCCCATCGATCCCCAAATTGCTACCATTTCACAATCAGAACCTCGAAAAAAAAAAGCTGATTCTTCGAGCCCTGATGAATAAAAATCGAATCTTTACCCAATTCAAAGCTGAATCGGAAAGCCCTGAGTCAATTAACCGATCAAATTGATTAATTAAGGGAAAAGCTTGAAGATCGATACCAGTTGAGACCGGCAGTTGATCCGAAGGCCCAGCAATCGACTAGCTAAAAAAACAAAACATATAGCCAGTGGGAGGATTAGTGGGAGAATGAGTGATGATAAAAGTAATGTAACAAATTAAAAACTTTCTAATTTCAGAAATGGAATAAGAAAGCAAACCCTAAATCGCGTGGTTTCTTTATGGGAATTTAAAAATTGCAAAGACGAAATTCTTCTGATGCGATGTGGGGTGGTGTGGCTTTTTCCTTTGCTTCCTTTTCGTTTTTGTTCCTCCGTAACTTCTCACCTTCCTTTCGTGTCCCCTTTGTCAGAAACTTATAAATCTCTCATGAAATGGAGTATATGGGATTATGAGAGAGATTAGTTATTATGGTGAGCCTTCTATAGGGGCAATTGTGTTTTTGGGGAAACCTTTTTGGCATACAATGGAGAAGTTATTACAAGATAATATTAGGATAGTTGGTTCTCTTCAACTAGTATGGTGGGAAGTGTTATCAGTTATACAGCTCATTTAAAAGTTCGGTTCAAATAGCAATTCATAGCTCAAATTGAATTGATAAGCAGATAGGTCCATCTAGAGAAGTCAGTTTGAGATCGGTTAGAACTTGAGGAAATTACATTCTCCACGTAAACAATTTGAAAATTTATACTTATATTAAAAGGTATACCATTTACCAGATTTAGTATAAAGAAAAGTCAACAACATTTATTGCATTACTATTTCCGTATTATACAATCTATACTTATATAAAAGGAGATTCTATTTACTATATTTACTATCCAGAAAAGTCAACTGTATTAAATGTAATTACTATTTTGGTATTATAATATTTATTTATTTAATTGATTTATTTATTTATTTTATTTTAAAAAGGTAAGTATAATAAAAAAAAATTAATAATAAAAAAATCAAATACCAAATAAAAATGTACACTTTGACTTATTTGATTATATTTAATATTTGTTGTGAAACGTGGACAATACGAATTAAAGACGAAAAAGTAAAAATGACACAAGATTTACGTGGTTCGGCAATATGCCTACGTCCACGGCGGAGCAGTGATCTTATTATTCACTCGTTATTCCAAATACATCAATACACAATGTATTTATATCAGAACCCTACAAGGTATAAATTTACATAAATATCCCGTACCGTACCGCGGGGGCTCCGCTCCGCTCGCATGCATCGGCCTGCCTCCTTCCTTTGTCAATATATGAGCCATATCAACAGTATTTGATTATACCAAATATATTCCTATTTAGTATATACATTAAATACTTACTAAAGTATTTATTTGTTTTATTTGTCAAAGTTAAGTATAGATTTGTTTATATTATCAAATCATAAAACAAATAAATATATCTCGTGCTTCGCACGGGTATTTGAACATTGTACAATTTTCTTGCGTATTATAAACTTTTATTGAATATTGCATCTTATAATATAATATTCTCCAAACAAATATATCTCGTGCTTCGCATGGGTCACGTCCTATATATATCCCGTACATTTTTCTTTATTCATGTATATAATTATAAGCCTGGATAAATAGCCTTAAAATTGTGCACCCCGTGCATCGCACGGGCTCTGTACTAGTATTACATAATTACATCTCTTATATAATTATTTACAAATTAACTAATTAAATTTGTTATATTTATTTGCATATATGCCTAAAAAGTGATTTCCTATTTATATGTTCCAATTCTTTTTTACATGGTAACTTTCCATCAATTACGTCTCTCTCCTCTCCCCCTCACTTTCTCTTCTTCACGCACGGCCCTATCTCTCTCTTCTTCACACAAAACAGTGCGCGCTGCTTCACACATACGGCCCTATCTTTCTCTTCTTCATCATGTATTAAGATGATAATACGCACAAACGTGTTCCCTTTGCTTAGCAGATCCAATTTGCTCTTCAGATTGCTTCCTTTTGCTTAAATAGGTTTGTTGCAGATTCTCCCAATATATCACTTGCTATGAGGAGGACAAATTTGGTTTTAACTAGTCTGTGGCTTAGTGGAATTCCATAATGGTCATGATTATTAGGTTTTTATTGTTTAAGGGCTTGAATATTCGGTGCTGGGGGCTTTTATCAACCAGATGATCTATCTTACATCATCACATGTCTTTTTCAATGTTTTAAGAATTTTTGGACTGTGTGCAGAGGGTAAAATTAAGGAAGAAGAATTAGAGAGAAATGTGGGTATGCGATAGAGGAGAAGAGAAAAACGAGAGAAGGAGAAAATAAATGACGGGAAAAAGAAAAGAAATGGGGAAAAAGAGAGGAGGAAAAAGAAAAAGGAGTATATGTACAATATATGTAAATCTTAGTTATGTACTGTTATTGTCTTAGTTATGTACAATTAGTTTGTGAATGGATGTTTGTTTTTTTTGTTTTCAATGTTTTATTCATAGTTTATGTTGGGTATATTAGAAGATATTTTTGTTAGCAAACGAATTTGACAAAGCATAAATTGATTTATTATTATTTTTTGGTATATGTATGGTTTATATTCAATATATTTTCGGTATATGATAAAGAAATTTATCGTGAGACATAATTTTTATGTATAAAATCAATTTATATTTAGCATAAACTGAATTTTTTTGTTGTTGTTTTTGTGTATATGTATGGTTTTATATTAATTAATTTGTTATAACATGTTTTTAAACTATATATATACTCTTATGTATAAAAGAAAAAAAAAAGGAAGATATAATTTTTTGATGGAAGACATTTTTTTCATTGCAACATATACTGAATATATACTAACATAATCGCAATATATACCACCTGACAACTGCATGAATTAAGGAATTCCAATTGCGCACATATATTGAATATATACTAACATAAACGCAATATATATCACCTGACAGTTGCGTGAATTAAAGAATTCCAGTTGCGCGAATTAAGGAATTAAATAAGTAAGTTATTTATTTTTCATTTCTCTCTCTTATGAGTCAACGTTTTTTTTTTTTTTTTTGTATGGTAACTGAAATCAGGTGAATCTCCAATTAATTCAATAGTTTTAGGTACATATGCAATTAAACTTAGAATAGCTGCAAAATCGCAAATAAATCTAAATCTTGTTGGATATATGAAAATTTCCCTTAGAAGTTCGGTTCAAATAGCATTTCATAGCTCAAATTGGATTGATAAGCACATAAGTCCAACTGGATAAGTCAGTTTGAGATCGCTTATATGAATAGTAAAGCTCAATTAAGAGTCCTCTACATGAACATAAATGTGCTTTAGGTCAAGGTTAGCTGATGGAAGAAAAGTTTAGTATATCTAGGGAAATCGTTTGAAACTTAGTATAATCGTGCATATCTTTAAGTTTATAAAGTTAATATGATACGTATAAATATCTTTTAAAAATATTCGAAAACTCTAATCGCGAAATCACTATTCTTGCATAAGAGAGATTATTCTTGATATACACAGGCGAACTTAAGTGTATTTAAGCCAAGAGCCTCCAGGCAGTAGGCACTTTGCAAGTCTTTAAAACGAATTCAGAGGCAAGAAGACGATTCGTGAGGTGCAGATCGCATCATGTAGATACATCTAAATTTTTCTCTATTCGTTAATTTAATTTTAAAACTTTTAGTGTTGTGAAAACTAATATTTCAATGTTATTATATGGACTCAACATTTAATACTAATTTATTTCATTTATATATGCACTTAGTTTTCTTGTACCAATCAGTGTACATAATCATACAATACACGAGTTGTAACTTAAAAAATAAATAAATAAATCATTGAGTTAGATGTTTGATATTTAAATGGGCCAGTTTTTAGTTAGTTAGACCACCACTTTTATAAACCAGTCATGTTGCAGGCCTGTAATATATTATTGCGGGAAAATTTTATAACTGCCCTAGTTTTAGAAAAAATATTCTGGAATAACTATAGGGCATACACAATTCCACATATACTGCAAAACTGGACACAATTAGAAAAATAAAAAAAAAACCGCATGGCTACAGGTTTCTCTCTCTTCCCACTCGTTTCGGTTCTTTTTCTTTTCTTCTTCTTCGTCCTCTCCTTCTTCTCCTTCTTTTTCTTTTCTTCTTCTTTTTCTTCTTCTTCTTCTTCTTCTTCTTCTTCTTCTTTTCTTCTTCTTCTTTTCTTCTTCTTCCTCCTCTCCTTCTTCTTCTTCTTCTTCAAAAGCCTAACAATAAAAATAACAACAAAAAAATATTAATCGATTAGTTATATACATATATAAAAATTAAATCAATTAAAAGCAATACAAAGATTTATTAAATTACATTTTAAAAATAATAATAAAACAGAATATATATAGATAACAATAACTTTGCAAAAAAATAATATGAAAACAACAAAATAATAACATAACAACTTTTGAGCAACATGAAAACAACTGTTCAGCAACATGAAAACAACTGTTAGTGAAAACTGTAAGTCTGTAACTTTGAACTGACAATATTTTTCAAATAAACAGTAGTTTACTATGACATGAAGACCATACCCACCCTGACCTCTTTTCCCGCTATTCACATAATTTTCAAATTCCATAACAAGAAAGAGACCATCACAGAGGAACTAACATGAAAAGAGTTGTGTACCGAGTTTTAAACGCCAGATCCGATTAACGAGGTGGGCAGCGGTTGTGGACTAATTCGGCGAACGGAAGGTGATGGTGAATAGATCAGAATTGAAATATATATATATATATATGTATATAAGGGGAAAAAACTAAGAATAAATTACCGAGATTGCAACCCATGTGCAAAATTGGAATCAAGTGAAATAAAGCATAAAAACTTGAAACAGATCTAGTGAAATAAAAGTATTAGAAAAAAANAGAGAAGAAAAAAAAAAAAGATAAAGATAAACTGTTATTAAATAAGACTTTTTAAATGCACTACGAGAGTATAATCGGGCAATTATGGAAACACTCACAACCTGTAATAAAAACTTAATTAATACTTGAAACGAGATAGAGGATGTCTTTAATTCATAACTAGCCCATCATTTCTTAGAACAATTATATTCTGTGGTCTAATTATATATTGAGGAAATTACATCCTCCACTTAAACAATCTGAAAATATTACATAATTACATCTCCTATATAATTATTTACAAACTAACTAAATTTGTTATATTTATTTGCATATATGCCTAAAAATCTGATTTCTTATTTACATGGTAATTTCTCATTCCTGTTTACATGGTAACTCTCTCTCTCTCTCTCTCTCTCTCTCTCTCCAGATCTTGCTTTCTCTCGCCAAACCCTATCCATCGTCTCCCCTCATCTCTCCCTCTTCTCCAGATCTTGCTTTCTCTCCGCCAAACCCCACCCCTCACGCTGCCCCTAGCGCCGCCCTCACGGCGATGGTCTGCTTAGACGCGCGACGAGCAGGGGTGATGCTCGATGTTTCTGGTCGAAGGGACGAGGAGAGACTGCTGCTTGCTTGAAAAGAAAGAGAACGGCCTCTGCAAATTCGA